TGAGACACCAGCTAGGGTGGCTTGGTAGGGGTGCTTTTGCCACCCCTCCCTCAACTCTGAGCAGGGGCCATGTGGTACAGAGAAATCTTGGTGCTTGGGAGAGGGAGAGCACAGCATCTGGGGCCTTTATATTGAACTTAGTGCTCCCCTCTCATAGTGGAGACCTGGCAGGATTCATCCCCTCCTGACAAAAGAACCCCGGGCCCTGAGCCACCAGCAATTCCCAGGTTAATACATTATGGGCCTTGGGATCTGAGAAATGCTGGCTTCAAGTGTGACCCAGCATGTTCCCAGCTGTGGTAGCTACAGTGAAAGACTCTTTCTGTTTGAGAAAAATGGGGGCAGGGGGTGGGTGGGGAAGTAAAGAGGACTCTGTCTTGCACTTTAGGTACCAGCTCAGTCAAGTGTGATGGAGCAATAAGCAGGCTCTTCAGGTCCCTGAGTCCAAGCCTGGGATCTCGGTCAGCATTTCTGGACCTGCCATGGACCAGAAGGGAGCCCACTACTCTGAAGAGTGAGTCCCAGGTCTGGCAGCATTCATCAGAAGCTGACAAAAGGGCTTTAAGTGAACATCGGCAATAGTCTGGCAGAACCCCTCACGGGCTGCTGGTGGCAGTGGCCACAGGGAGGAAAAAGTGGGAAGGACTTTGTGCCATGATTTGAGCACCAGCTTTGCTGCAGTAGAGTAGAATACCCGGTGTTTGACATTTCCATGGCTTTTGATATCAATTCTTGCCTCTCAGACAGCATCTCTGGACCAACCTAGGTCTGGAGGAACTCACTGCCCTGAAGGTAGGAACAAAAATCAGGTTGGCTTTACCATATGCTTATCATAGAGCCCCAGGGCCTAGAATGAACTTAGATGGTAGCCAGATAGTTACAGCGGGCTTTGGGTGAGACCCAGTGCTGTGCTGTCTTCAGGTCTGAGCCAGCACAGTCCTGGTGGTGGTGGCTACAGGGATACTTGTGTTCCTTCACCTCCAGTTCCAGGAGACTCAGCACAGAGTAGGGGAGAGACTCTGTTTGTGAAAAAGCAAGAGAGAAAAGTCTTTGCCTGGTAATCTAGAGAATTCTTCCAGATCTTAGCCAAAACTACCAAAGCAGTACCTCTATGAGTCTGCAAGAACCATAATATTATTGGACTTGAGGCCCAAATTCCTTCAAAATACCTGGAAAGCCTTCCCAAGAAGGATGGGCACAAATAAGCCCAGACTGAAGACTACAATAAATGCCTAACTCTTCAATGACCAGACACTAACAAACATCTAAAGCATCAGGACCATCCAGGAGAAATTGACCTCACCAAATAAAATAAGTAAGAAACCAGGGACCAATCCTGAGATATGTGACCTTTCAGACAGAGAATTCAAAATGGCTGTGTTGAGAAAACACAAATATAGCTAAGATAGCACAGAACAGAAATTCAGAATTTTTTTTTCCTTGAGATGAAGTCTCACTCTGTCATCCAGGCTAGAGTGCAATGGTGTGATCTTGGCTTACTGCAACCTCTGCCCCCTGGATTCAAATGATCCTCCCACCTCAGCCTCCTAAGTAGCTGGAATTATAGGTGTGTGCCACCATACCCAACTAATTTTTGTATTTTCAGTATACATGTGGTTTCACCATGTTGGCCAGGCTGATCTTGAACTCCTGACCTCAAGTGATCAGCCTCCCAAAGTGCTGAGATTACAGGTGGATCACTTGATACAAGGAGTTGGAGACTAGCTTGGCCAACATGGTGAAACACCATCTCTACTGAAAATACAAAAATTAGCCAGGCGTGGTAGCAGACACCTGTAGTCCCAGCTACTCAGGAGGCTGAGGCAGGGCAATTACTTGAACCGAGGAGGCAGAGATTGCAGTGAGCCAAGATTGCACCACTGCACTTCAGTCTGGATGAAATAGTGAGGCTTCGTCTCAAAAAACAAAACAAAACTAAACAAAAATGGACTCTTTCATCATTACAGAATAACTTTCATTGTCTCTGTAGGCAGCAGAAACTAAGAAGGTCATTATATAACAATAAAGGAGTCAGTTAAGCAAGAGGCTACAACAATTTTATGCACCCAACACTGGAGCATCCAGATATATGAAGCAGCAAATATAATTTGAAGTAAGAAGACAGCCCTCAGTACAATCATAGCTGGAGACTTCAACATCCCACTTTCACCAATGGACAGATCTTCTAGACAGAAAATCGACAAGGAAACATCAGGCTTAAACTGCACTATAGAACAAATGGACCTCATAGATATTTACAGAGCGTTTCATCCAAAGACTGCAGAATACACATTCTCCTCAGCATCTGGATAATTCTCAAGGATAGACCATATGTTAAGTAACAAAACAAGTCTTTAAAAATTTCAAAGTAATTGAGATAATAGCAGACATCTTCTCTGAGCAAAATGTAACAAAACAAAACGAGGAATTTTGGAAGCTATACAAATACACAGCAATTAAACAATATGCTCTTGACTGACCAGTGGGTCAATGACGAAATTAAGAAGGGAATTGAAAAATTTATTGAAACAAATGATAATGGAAACAGAACATATCAAAACCTATGCAATACAGTGAAAGCAGTACTAAGAGGGAAATTTGTAATTTTAAGTATCTACATCGAAAAAGAAGAAAAACTTCAAATAACCTAATGGTCTGTTAAAGAACTACAAAAGCAAGAGCAAACCTCACTCAAAATGAACAGAAGAAAAAAAAATAATAAAGATCAGAGCAGGTGAGGCATGGTAGCTAATGTCTGTAATCCCAACACTTTGGAAGGCCAAGGCGGGTGAATTACCTGAGGTCAGGAGTTCAAGACCAGCCTGGCCAACATGGTGAAACCCAATCTCTATTAAAAATTCAAAAATCAGTTGGGCCCAATGGCTTATGCCTGTGATCCCAACACTTTGGAAGGTCGAGGTGGGCAGATCACCTGAGGTCAGGAGTTCGAGACCAGCCTGACCAACATGGAGAAACCCCATCTCTACTAAAAACCCAAAACAAACAAACAAACAAAACAAAATTAGCCAGGTGTGGTGGCACATGCCTGTAATCCCAGCTACTTGGGAGGCTGAGGCAGGAGAATCACTTTAGCCCGGGAAGCAGAAGTTGAGGTGAGCTGAGATCAAGCCATTGCACTCCAGCCTGGGCAACAAGAGTAAAACTCCATCTCAAAAAAACAAACAAACAAACAAACAAAAACCCCACAAAAATTAGCCAGGTGTGATGCACTTGTAATCCCAGCTACACAAGAGATTGAGGCAGAAGAACAGCTTGAACCCAGGAGGTGGAGGTTGCAGTGAGCCAAAATCATGCCTCTGAACTTCATCGTGGGTAACAGAGCCAGACTCCATCTTGAAAAAAAAAATTGGAGCAGAAATAAATGAATTTACAATGAAGGAAAAATACAAAAGATCAATAAAACAAAAGTTGTTTTTTAAATATAAAATTGGCAAATCATTATCCAGACTAAAAGATAAAAAGAGATACGACCAAAATAAATAAAATCAGAGATGAAAAGGAGGCATTACAACTGATATCACAGAAATTCAAAGGATCATTAGCGGCTACTATGAGCAACTGTTTGCCAACACATTGGAAAATCTAGAGGAAATGGATAAATTACTAAACACATACAACCTACCTACCAAGATGGATCCATGAAGAAATCCAAAACCTGAACAGACCAATGACAAGCAATGAGATCAAAGCCATAATTAAAAAGTCTCCCAGCAAAGAAAAGCCCGGGACCTAGTAGCTTCTCTGCTGAATTCTACCAAACATTTAAAGAAGAAACAATACCAATCCTGCTCAAACTGAACTAAAAAAATAGGGAAGGAAGAAATACTTCCAAACTCATTCTGCAAGGCCGGTATTATCCTGATACCAAAACCAGACAAACACACATCAAAAAAAGAAAACTACTGGCCAATATTTCTAATGAATATTGTTACAAAAAATCATCAACAAAATACTAGCAAACTAATTCAGCAATACACTAAATAGATCATTCATTCATCATGATGAAGTAAGACTTATCCCAGAGATTCAAGAATGGTACAACATACACAAATCAATGAATGTAATATAATATACCATATCAACAGAATGAAAGACAAAAACCATGTGATTATTTCAATTGATGCTGAAAAAGCCTTTGATAGAATTCAACATCCCTTCATGATAAAAAAAAATTTTTTAAACTATAGATAGAAGGAACATACATCAACATAATAAAAGTAATGTGACAGACTCACAGCTATTATGATACTGAATGGGGAAAAACTGAAAGCCTTTTCTCTAAGATCTGGAACACAAATACTGCCACTTTCACCACTGATATTCAATATACTACCAGAAGTCCTAAGTGGAACACTTAAACAAAAGAAAGAAGAAGGGCTTCCAAACTGGAAAGAAAGAAGTCAAATTATCCTTGTTTCTAGATGATAGAATCTTATATGTAGAAAAACCTAAAGACTCCACCAAAATACTATTATAACTAATAAACAAATTCAGTAAAGTCACAGGACACAAAATCAACATACAAAAATTTGTAGAATTTCTGTATGCCAACAGTAAACAATCTGAAAGAGAATAAAAAACGCAATCCCATTTACAATAGCCACAATAAAATTAAACACCCAGGAGTTAACCAAAGATGTGAAATACCTCTACAATAAAAAGTATAAAACACTGATGAAAGGCATTGAAGAGGACACCTAAAAATGGAAACATATTCATATTCATGGACTGGAAGAATTAATATTATTAAAATTTTGATTTCAAAATTTCAAAAGATAAAATTTACAATAGCAATAATAAATATAAGCACCTAGAAGTAAAAGACATTAAGAAGACTACAAAGGAGAAACACACTGCATTCATAAGAGAACACCTAGCATTGTGCAATGTTTCTAATACAATTACACATTGTACATTTCACAACATCCTCCACATTTACCTTCGCATTTAATTTTTTTCCTTTAAAAATCCCAAGAGGAGAGAGAGTGGGACGTCCGGCTTCTGAGCGGTAACCTCTGTTGCGCTAACAACGAAAAAGATTTAAATATGGGTGATGTTGAAAAAGGCAAGAGGATTTTTATCCAGAAGTGTTCCCAATGTCACACTGTGGAAAAGGGAGGCAAGCACAAGACTGGGCCTAATCTCCATGGTATCTTTGGGCGGAAGACAGGTCAGGCCTCTGGATTCACTTACACTGAAGCCAATAAGAACAAAGGCATCATCTGGGGAGAGGATACACTGATGGAATATTTGGAGAAGTCCAAGAAGTATATTCCTGGAACAAAAATGATCTTTGTCGGCATTAAGAAGAAGGGAGAAAGGGAAGATTTAATAGGTTATCTCAAAAAAGCTACTAATGAGTAATAATAGGCCACTGCCTTATTTATTAGGAAACAAATGTCTCATGACTTTTTTATGTGTACCATACTTTAGTAGATCTGATACACCAGAATTTACGTCATGAATGACTGACAGATATTTTGTTGGGCAGTCCTGATTTAAAACTAAGACTGGCTTGTGGTTAAATGAATATGTTCAGTTTTTGGATTTTAATAGTAATTCCAATTTAGTAAATTCTATCACTGTTTACCCCTTCTAAAGATATGATTAGACTTCGTTAGTAATGTTAAACTTTTCACAAAGATGGTGAGTGCCATCTTAAAACTTACTAGAGATTGGTTTTATATTTAGATTTATATAACTGGTTATGTGAATATATTTAAATATGGGGAAAATTCCTTCACTGTCTCAGAACCAAGAAAGATTCACCTGTGTTTTGTGTTCATTTTCCTCTTAAAGGCAAGATTGAAGATAAATGGGTAGCAGTGGCTATTTTATACTTTTGGCCTTAACTATGCCAATCTAATTAGAATGCCCTGCATTTAAAATGGTTCCTTTTACTTATTTAAAGGCATTTTGTGTGGTTTATGTGTAATATCAAAAATTATTTATTTAACACTTCATACATTTTATAGATGATCTATGAGGTCACATGCTTTTAAAATAGTAGCCAATTAAACTTCAGTTTTGGATTCTTTACAATCTAAGTCAAACTAAGTTATAATTTAGGATTGTCTTTAAACAGCCATTCAGAAACAAAACTGTACAACTGCTGTTGTAGTGTATTTGTGATTGGGAATGGTGCTTTTGCCAACTTAAAAGAATTAAAGTAGAGGAGATATACACAAATTTAAAAATGATGTGTGATCATAAGACTTAAGATATGGGCGCGGTGGTTCACGCCTATAATCCCAGCACTTTGGGAGGCAGAGGCGGGTGGATCACAAGGTCAACAGATCGAGACCATCCTGGTCAATGAGGCGAAACCCCATCTCTACTAAAAATACAAAAGTTAGCTGGGCATGGTGGCGCGCGCCTGTAGTCCCAGCTACTCAGGAGGCTGAGGCAGGAGAATTGCCTGAACCCAGAAGGCGGAGGTTGCAGTGAGCCGAGATCGTGCCATTGCACTCCAGCCTGGGTAACAGCAGTGAAACTCCGTCTCAAAAAAAAAAAAAAAGACTTAAGATTATTAAAAAGAAAACCACAAAAAAATTAAAAATAAAACAAATAAAAATCCCAAAAGGAATATTTGAGTAACTTAAGCTGATTCTAAAATTTATATAACAGATAAAAAACCCCGAAATAATTAAAATAGCCCTGAATTAAAAAAAAAAAAAATAAATGAGGACATGCCCTGTCAGATAGCAAGACTTATCATAGGTGACATAGTACTTCAGACAGCTTGGTATCAGTTCAGATAGACAAAGTAATCATCTGAATAAAATCGAGAGCCTGAAGAAAAACGTCCATGCTTATGTAGACACTTAATTTATGACAAAAATGGTGAACTATTTGGTAAACGGTGTTGGGACAATAGGTTATGAAAAGAAAAAGAAAATCATATATGTATCAAATACAAAAGAAGCAGTTTCTTCTGTATTTTATATAAAACTTGAACTCTGTTAGATAAAGTTATAGGATAATATTTTTATAATCTTAAGATAGGGAAGTATTTCTTAAACAAGATTGAAAGGCACAGATAAATTCAGTTACATTAAAATTAAGAACTTTTAGCCAGTCATGGTGGCTCATGCCTGCAATCCCAGAACTTTGAGAGGCCAAGGTGGATGGATCACTTGGGCCAGGAGTTCAAGACCAGCCTGGCCAACATGGCAAAACCCCATCTCTACTAAAAAATACAAAAACTAGCTGGGCATGGTGGTGCACGCCTGTAATCCCAGCTACTCAGGAGGCTGAGGAACAAGAATCACTTGAACTCAGGAGGTGGAGGTTATAGTGAGCCGAGATCATGCCACTGCACTGCAGCATGGGTGACAGAGTGGGACTCTGTCTCAAAAAAAGAAAAAATAAATAACAACTTTTGTTCTTTAAAAGGCACGATAGAGAAATAAAGAAGCTATTTGCTATACTTATAATCATTATAGGGTTAGTATCCAGAATATCCAAAGTCCAAAAAATTAGTAATCAGTAAAACACTCATGATGCAATACAGCTCTGGACAGGAAGCATGAGCAGGCATTTCACAAAAGAGAAAATATGAATGGTGAAAAGACATATGAAAATTCCCCAAACTCATTAATAATTAGGAAAGTAAGACCATAAGGAACTGTATTTTACACCCACTAGATTGCCAAAAGTTAAGAAGACTGAGTCTACAGAGTTGGTGAAATTTCAGATCAACTGTAACTCTTATATACAATTGTTGGGGCTGGGCATGGCGGCTCACACCTGTAATCCCAGCACTCGGGGAGCTAGGAGGATCGCTTGAACCTAGGCGTGCAAGACCAGCCTGGGCAACTTAGTGAGAACTTGTCTCTAAAAATACAAAAAATAAAATGTTAACTGGGCATAGTAGTGCATGCCTGTACTCCCAGCTACTTAGAAGGCTGAGGTGGAAGAATTGCTTAAACCTGGGAGGTTGAGGCTGCTGTGAGTTGTGATAATGCCACTGTACCCCAGCCTGGGTGACAAAGTGAGACCTCATCTCAAAAACAATAAATAAATAAATAAAACTTTATTTTGGTAAGCTTCATCTCAACATATAGGTGACTATTTTTCCAGATGTTTTAAAAAATATGGTTTCTTGGCCAAGTGTGGTATCTCACACCTGTAGTCTCAGCACTTTGGGAGGCTGAGGCAAGTGGATCACTTGGGCTCAGGAGTTCAAGACCAGCGTGGGCAACATGGTAAAATCTCGTCCCTACAAAAAAAATACAAAAAACAAAACAAAACAATTAGCCAGGCATGGTGGCATGTGCCTGTGGTCCCGGCTACTCAGAAGACTGAGGTAGAAGAATCGCTTGAGCCCAGGAGCTTGAGGCTGCAGTGAGCTGTGTTCATGCCACTGCACTCCAGCCTGGGGGACAGAGTGAGACCCTGTCTCCAAAGAATACACACACACACACACACACACACATATAAACACATACACACACACAAACATATATAAACACATATGTATGTGTATATATATATACACATACACATCTTTAAAGATGTTTTTTGATTCTTTGATAAATTGAGCTTTTTACATATACTATCACAATCCTCATCTCTTTAGTAAGGCTATTCACATTGACTCTGGACATATATCCAGGAGTAATTTTTTAAAGTTTACTTACAATCATAAAGATGTGTTTGCATTGCTCAGTAGCCCTGCATAGATTGAAACAGCTCAGATCATTTCAGCATAGTAACACCAGCTAGTTACCACAAACTAATCACACTTGGAAGAATTGTTTCCTTGACTAAAAATTGCCATATCTTAGGACAGTTACTCCTCAATAATATAAACTTTGTCACTAGGATCAAAAAAAGAGAAGATGGGCCCATCATCATCTTTGGAGAGACATGGGGGGTAAAAGCAACAAGACTGCATGTCCTGGCTATTTCCCTAGAATAGATTCCAGTTTGCCTTTCTCCTAATATGCTCAAAGTGTACACCAACACTTCACATTTGGTCTATTTCTAAGTTCAATCATTACAATTTCATTAGTGGACTTTTTAGTTCCTTTAATTCTTTATATCTCACTAGCACTACTTTTAAATATTTTATAGTCTTTATTAGCTAGTTGGTTGTATCTTTTTTTATTTGTTCTCTTCTGTCTGGGTTAGATTGTTGTTTTGGGGTGTACAGTGTACATTCTTCACTTGTTCTTTCTCTCTCTCTTTCCTCCCTCCCTTCCTTTCTTCCTTCCCCCCTCCCTTCCTTCCTTCCCTCCTGCCTTCAGACATGATCTGACTTCCATCACCCAGATTGGAGTGCAGCGCTGCAATCACAGCTCACTGCAACCTAGAATTCCTGGGCTCAAGCAATTTCCCACCTCAGTCTCTCAAGTAGCTGAGACTATAGGCATACACAACTACAGCTGGCAATGTCTACAGTGTTCCTTCTTAACTTATCACAGTCTCTTTTCAGATAATATTAGATTACTTTTTTTTTAATTTATTTTTTTAATTGAGACAGAGTCTTGCTCTGTTGCCTAGACTGGAGGGCAGTGGTGTAATCTCAGCTCACTGAAACCTCTGCCTCCCAGTTTCAGGCAATTCTCCTGCCTCAGTCTCCCAAGTAGCTGAGATTACAGGAATGTGCTACCATGTCCAGGTAATTTTTGTATTTTTAATAGAGACAGGTTTTCACCATGGTAGCCAGGCTGGTCTCAAACTCCTGATCTCAGGTGATCCACCCACCTCAGCCTCCCAAAGTGATGGAATTATAGGCGTGAGCCACTGTGCCTGGCTTAGAACATTTTTTTTTCTAAGATGGAGTCTTGCTCTGTCGCCCAGGCTGGAGTGCAGCAGTACAATCTTGGCTCACTGCAACCTCTGTCTCTTGGGTTCAAGTGATTCTCCTGCCTCAGCCTGCTAAGTAGCTAGGACTGCAGGTGCACACCACCACACCCAGCTACTTTTTGTATTTTTAGTAGAGACAGGGTTTCGCCATGTTGGCCAGGATAGTCTCGATCTCTTGATCTCATGATCCGCCCGCCTCTGCCTCACAAAGTGCTTGGATTACAGGTGTGAGAGCCACTGCACCTGGCCAAACATTTTTTATATAAGAACTTGACCTATTGTATAAGAGCCCTACAACATTGTAAGCCCATTTTTCTCTCCCAGTTTCTATGCTATTGTTGCCTTTTACTTTACTTCTGTGTACACTTGATTCTCATTATTTACAGATTCTATATGTGTAAAGTCACCTACTTGCCAAAATTTGTTTGTAACTCCAAAATCTATGTAGTACTTTTGTAGTTATTTGTGAACATGCTCAGAGTAGCAAACACTTTGAGTCCCTTGAGGTGCACAATCCAATCAGATGAAGTAAGGCAATGCCTGTCTTCTTTGTTTCAGCTCTCTACTGTAAATAAATGTCCTATTTTTGGTCTAGTTAGTGTCACATTGTTTACATGTTGTGCTTTCCATGTGGATGATTTCACTGTTTAAAGTGGCCCCCAAAAGACTTGTATACTGAAAACTATGAAATGTTGTTGAAAGAAATAAGCAAATGGAAAGACATCTGGTTTTCATGGAAGATTTAATATTGTTAAGATGTCAGTACTACTCAAAGTGATCCGCAGATGCAATTCCTATCAAAATCCCAATAACATTTTTTTGCAGAAATAGAAAAGTCCATCCTAAAATCCACATAGAATCTCAAGGAACCTCCACATAGTCAAAACAATCTTGGAAAAGAAGTTAGAAGTCTCATATTTTCTGACTTAAACACTTTCTGCAAAGGTATGGTACTCAGACTGGTACTGGCATAAAGACAGATTTAGAGACTGGTGGAAGAATATACAGAACCCAGAAATAAACCCTCTCATATATGGTCAAATGATTTTT